CCAGTCCTCCCAGTCCTCCCAGTCCTACCTGTCGTCCCAGTCCTCCCAGTCCTCCCAGTCCTCCCAGACCTACCTTTCGTACCTGTCCTCCCAGTCCTCCCAGTCCTCCCAGTCCTACCTGTCCTCCCAGTCCTCCCAGTCCTCCCAGTCCTGCCAGTCGTCCCAGTCCTCCCAGTCCTCCCAGTCCTACCTGTCGTACCTGTCCTCCCTGTGCAGGTGATGCACACAGACACACACTTCCTGTCGTGCTGGCAGCAGGAGGACGTGGTCGCTGTTTACAGCTGGTTACTGGTTAATGTTTAACGAGTCTGAGCCTCGTTCTGCTGCTTCATCAGCTCACAAAGCGTCAGAGAGGAGCAGCTCTGGAGAACAGACAACCGACAGAACGCACAAAAAACACACAAAGTGACAGAAAACATGCACAAAACAACCACTGAAACATAAGAAGGGTCTATAAAAGTTAGCTCAACAATACTGAGACATGAAAAGCAGACACAACAACAACAATAAAACACAAATACAACGACCACAAAGAGACACAAAGAGACACAAAACTACCACAAACAGAGTTTTTAATCACATATCACAGCTTCAAACTTCATTCTGGTTTTTCTTCCTGATGGACTCGTCGTGATGCGTTCGAGGACCGTCAGAAAGCCGATGATTCCGTCTGTTGTCAGATGTTGTCGTGTGTTCCAGACGTGGACGGATCAGAACCTTTACACCCAGATGGAAGCCCGGAGCTGGACGGGCTTCCCCGGCGGCCGGTGACCTTTTCCACGGTTCCCCTCTGAAACCGCAGCAGGAAGGCCGGGCCGTCGCCACGGCAACCAGGTAACCAGGAAGCAGCGTGACGAGGATGCAGATGGAGCGTGGTGTTATCTTTATGACTGTCAGGGAGGAAGGACGAGTGTCAGACCTGGACCTGTAAACACAGACTCTCCTCAATCTATAGAATATAAAATAATCAAATACGGACTCATCCTGATTCGACTATACATACACAGATATAAGTGTTTATAGTTCTACTGGAAATGTCGTTATTTAAAAGAGAAATTATAGATAAGAGGATGAAACATGGTGAATAATTTCTGTTAAATATCAGAAAATAATTTGATGTCGACACGGTAACATGATAATAAAGTTATTTTATTTAAATCAGCAAAAACATGTTGTGTCACAGAAATATGCCATAATTTTAAAAAATAAAATAAAAATGATAGATATTAGTTTTTACAGTTATTTTACAGATTTGTTCCTTTTTTATTCAGTTTACAGATAAAATCTGTTAAGACGTCTGAAAAAATGTAGATTTACATAAAAGGTCAAAACTGTAAATATCATGTTTAATAAAACTTACGTACATAAAATTACACTTTTTTTTCAATATTTTTAAAATTTATTTTACCGTTTTAAAATTTGCTGAAAATATTTTGATTATTTTTTGTTTTTATTTTTATTTTAGTTTATTTCCAAGTTTTGTTAAATTACAGAAAATATATCAAAAAATACCTAAAAAAAAAATAAATTTATTTGTTGACTGTTAAAGTAAAAACAGACCAAAACTGTAAATAATTAACAACAATAAACCTCGTTAACGTACATCAGGATTGTCAGCTTAATTAATATATATTTACTGATGTTATAATAAAGATAAACATGTAAATGTTTGTGTAAACAGTAAATAATGCTTTTATTTTGTTAAAACAACGTTATATTAATAGAACAACAGTTCTCAGGGACTCAAATCCTGACGATGATGGAAGGATTTTATATTTTTTAATACAGCCAAACATTTCCAGTTTTATTTCCCAGTTACTGTCTAGAACCAGAACAAAGTCCAAACTGTGTTCATTTAAAGTCAGACCCTCCAGACCAGGAGAAGGACTGAGAAGGTCTACTGATTTATTCTTGGTTTTTAAGGAGAACATCACTTAAAGCTCAGACAGAAAACTTCCTTTACTGACGTCTTTGTGTTTCTTGTTTTTCTTTTTCTTGCAGGTTTAGTTTTTAACAAAACGGTGACGTTCCTACAAAGCCCAGCCCGACGGGTTGGTTCTGGAAAATCACCGTCTGACCTCAAACAGAGAAGATGTTTCTAAGAACGTGTTTGACTCTGACGCAGCAGCTACTGGAGCTTCAGATCCAAATCAAACCGTTTCAGTGGAGCGGTTTGTGGTCCACGCCGGGTTCTGGAGAACATCTGATGTTGCTCAACCGAGACGACCGAAGACGCACAATCAGATAAAATGTAAATGTTGCTTCAGCCGGTTCTGCGTCGCCGGGCCTGTTTCTCATCAGAACCCGACGACAGAACCGCCGTCAGATCTCTGACGTTATCATCAGAATCGTTTCCTGGTTCTGCTCAGGCCCGTGGGGACGCTCCCGCCCTCCCTGATGAACACGTTAAACTGTTTCTGCGTTCATGGACGCAGACGTTCACCAAACCGATAAAACTTTACAGAAGACATCCAGAAAATCACAGAAAAACATTTTAATTTACACGTTAACTGCTAAAGAAAAACATCTAGTAAAGCTGTGACTCATGTCCACGTCAAAAAATCTGATCTTTTATAAATAGTTTGTTCTTTAACATCGTAGATTATAAAATCACAGTTTGTATTGTATTAAATTTAGCAAAAAATGTTTTTTTTTTGCAGATATTTGCTGTTTTTGAATTGTTGTTGTGAATGGCCACAACATGCTGAAATGGTGGCCTTAGCAGCTAGCTTGTAGCAACTGATGGACTGATATCGTAATAAATTGAATTTGTTAAATTTCTTTATCAGTTAGCTAGCTAGTCTACCAGTTATAAACCAGGAAACAACTTGTCTCCCAGTTGCTACGAGCTAGCCACTAGCAAACAACAGCAATTTCCCCATCACCAGTCGTATGTAGCGATGACTGTTCACTTCTTGTGATCTAAAGTTTGCGGAAACAGACATGTGTGATGTTAAAATAAACTTCTGTGAAGGAAATCCATTTAATCCTAAACCACCTTCTCAAACTTTAACAGCGACATTCGTCTGAGCGCTACAGAAACATGATCCTCCTGCATTCCATCAAACACTCTGAAGGTTTCTGCTCACGAGGCGACGCTTCAGTTTTAATTTGTAATGACTTCCTGTTGACGCCCAGACTGCCGCCGTCGCCTCGTCTTCAAAGCCGACTGACTTTACTCCACACTACCACGACAGAAAACATTCAACGTTCTGAACAAACCCGAACAGCAGAACCAGAGCCAGCGGTCGGGTGTTTCCTCTGTGGAGGGGTTTCCGACCAGTTTGGGGAGTTTTCACGAATATCAAACGGGTTTCGGGTTCTCTGTTTCATGTAAATGAGCTTTTGAATAATTAACGTCGGGCGGCTCACTTCACAGTTTCCTGTCTGTGAAGACTCTCGGTCCTCCAGGTCCGCGTTCTGCTGGTAGGTGAAGACGTTTCATCCAGGAGGCTTCATCAGCTCTGACTGGAGGTCCAGACACTGATATCCTGAAGGAGACATTAACACCTGAGTTCTGTTCATGGCTCCTTCAGGATTTCAGGATGTGGACCTCCAGTCAGACCTGATGAAGGAACTCAAGCAGGTCCAGTTCCTACCATTAATCTCCCAGAACGTTTGTCTCCCATCTGTTGGACCTCCTCTGACGACCCGAAACTTCTTCATAAACCCTGAATGTGTGAAGTCGTGGTTCATTTACATACCTGGAGAACCAGTCTGAACCACCAGAACTCCCCCATAACTAAAGATCCTCTGACCTACTTGTCTGATAGGACGGGTTCTGAATCAGCGACATGATGAGAGACAACACAGAACACTTCAGGTTTGGATCTTTAATCGTTTCTCAGATGTTGTCGTTTAAACACTTTCAAATTTCAATGTGAGAAAAAACAAAAAGAAAAAGAAAGAAAGAAAAACTCTGAAAACATTTGGCAGGAGAAGCTCAAAGTCCCGACATCGCCGGTCCACGGTGTTCAGGTTCAGAGACGGGGACGGATGACCTGAGGGGGCGACTTGTGGAACCACATCCCATCGTTCCTGCTGCTGGAGGCCCAACCCGGCAGGCTGCAGGTGTGAATGAGGCCAGACCGGATTTCAAAGTGGTTTCGCTTCGTCTGGACGCCGAGGAGGGAAACCGGAACCAGTTCCACGTCCTGCTCGGTTTCAAGGCGGCTGATTAGCGGAGGAGGGGGAGGAGCTTCTTCCACAGGTGTGAGCAGGTGAGAGCCGCCTCGTTGGGTCAGTTTCTCTGGCAGACGTGAAGCCGGATCTTCACCGGCGAAGGCTTCGCCGACAAAGCGACGAAGGAGCGGTGAGACGGGGCGAACTTGGACTTGGCGGCGGCGGCGAGCAGCGAGGAGGACGAAGGCTGGACGCCGGCGTCCGGCAGCGTCCGGCAGCTCAGCCCGTCGGCGCAGGAGCAGCGCTGGAACAGCTCCAGGCCGCGGTGGCCGGCTTTGCGGCGGTGTCGCGTGCACACCTGTCCCTCCTGCAGCACCGGCTTGCAGATGCGGGTCCAGAAGTGTCGCGCGCAGCACGCCGAGTCGGAGCAGTCGGAGGACCGGAGACACGGATCGCCGACCCGACCTGCAAACACACAGACGTTAGCGGCGAAGAGGGGAAGGAGCGTCGTTGGTTCACAAGGAGCTCACCTGTACCTGAGGCTCCGCCCACCTCCGCCCCGCCTCTCTCCCGCCGGCGCTTCTCAGTGGACGCCGGACCTCCGTGAGCGCCGGCGATCCGCTGAGACGTGGAGCCGTCCTCGGTGGCGACGCAGACGTCTGCAGCAGAAACAGAAAGACGTCCAGAGCTTCAGCTTCAGCGACTCCACTGATGTTCACGCATCAGCAGGTCAACGATCAGAGTCAACGGGCAGGATGGAGGCAAATTAAGTTTAAGTTTAAAAGTCGCTCATTAATCAGCTAGAAACAGAAAAACTGGAAAAAAATGTCGGATTGTTGCAACTTTCTGTCAGAGTTTGAATCAAAGTCGCTGAAAAATTCACAGAAAAAGAATCAAATCCACGAAAACGATTCTGCAGAAAACGACGCGACGCTTCAGCTGATGTGACAAAAACAACCCAAACGTTTCCCACTTACTGCTGCTGCAGCTGTTGCCGGGGCAACACATGCCGTCCCTATGGCAACGCCTCTTCCTCCGCCGGCAGGCCTGGCAGCGGGAGTGGGCGGGGCCTCTGGTGGGGGCGTGGCAGAAGCTGCCCTCGCTGCACTCCAGGTCGCTCATGCACCGGTAGAGCTGCAGGTCAGAGGTCAAAATACAGACGTCTGAGTGTTGTGACAATAAAGTTTTCAAACACTGAATCCTGCTCATACAGTTCTGAAGCACTTTGGTTGTTGTCAATAAAGTTTTGAAACACGTAAACAATCGTTCCAATAAAGTTGTGGAAGGTTTTATATGTTGTCGATAAAGTTTTCAAACATTCTCGTCCTGATAATAAAGTTCTGAAACACTTCAGGGTTTGTTTCATGTTTTTCTTTTACATCCTCACTAACAACAACAACAACAACAATAATAATAACGACGACCAGAACTCGTTATTAATTCTGGTCCGACCCACCGTCAGGTCCATGCCGGCCTCCCAGCTGCTCCTGTTCGCCGCCGGCTCCTCTCTGATGATCACGGTTCTGATGGAGTTCAGTCGGACTCGAGCCTCGGCAGCACTGCAGAGCATCAGCAGGACCAGAGTCAGAGTCAGAACCAGAGTCAGAACCGAGCCGTGGGCCATCGCTGCAGAGACACAAACAAGACAAACAGGAATCAGAGAATGAACCTGATTTAAGACCAAACGTCTGCAAGCTGGACGTTTGTTTGATGTTATTTTATTTTATTTTATTTTATGTTATTTGATGTTTTTTTATTTTATTTTATGTTATTTGATGTTTTTTTTATGTTATTTTAACCACTGCAGCTGTTTTCTTGATGTTTTGTGTGATTTCACAAAACAGGAGCATCACAAACTAAACAGTAAAAACTAAAAAAGGCAAAAACCTGGAAGCAGGAAACAGACGCTCAGAATGAATCTGGTTGGTTTAAACACAACAAGAACAAACAGTTTGATGGACAACAGCTGACCAAGAAGGAACGGATCATTATCATTATCATTATTATTATTGTTGTTTATTTGTTTAAATGCTGTTGTTTACATTCATGTCTTTATGATTTCTTACTGATTTCATTCTAAACCACTTCCGGCTTCGTTCATTTTGTGATTTTAACACATTTTATCTGAAACTTTATAACAAAACAGGAGAACTCTGTAAACTGACGGTGAACCGTCAGAACCCGTCCGGACCGTGAATACATAAAGTTTGTAACACTTTGGACCTCAGAGGAACCATCAGAGAAGCTCAATGAATCTGAATTCCACCTGAAAACCAAGCGGATGAAGAGCATCAGAACATCTCACCTGCTTCTTGCTTCTGGGGATGAATCCTGTCGGAGGGTTCCGTTGACCCGGTGTTCGGCTTCAGTTCCCGGTTCGTGTCTGAAACGGAGCCGCTCGGACTTTTTATAGGCTGCAGCCACGGGCGCGCGCGGCACGCCCACGATCCTCGGCCACATCGATACCCGCGCGCCCCCCACCTGCAGCCACCGATACGCAGAGCCCAGGTGCGCTCAGGTGTCCATTCAGAACTCCCATTGGAAAAACGGCCATTTTAGCGCAGCGGCTGGAGCGAAGCTGAGACGCAGAAACACTGAAGTGAAGCGTTGGAACGGGGCGGCTGCAGCCCGCCGGCGGTTCGGAGGAGTCAGCACATGATCAATACACCAAATAAATCAAAGTCACGCAGGAGGCTGACTGTTGGAGCTCTGCGTGACGTGAAGGGGAAATCGGACGTTTTGTGATTGAGGTTTGGTACAGAAGCAAACTGAAGCTCTCACTGTAAAAGCTGGAACCCTGAAAGCTCCCAGGTTTGTTTGTGCAGTTTACCCTTAAATGATAAATAATACTCAATAAAATCACAGAAGAAGAAGAACAACGAGACACAAACCCAGAAAACGACCAGAATCAGACCCAGAAGCCAGAACCAGGAGGTCCAACGTCCTCCAGGAGGCGTTCAGGATGTTTAAAGAACCTTTATAAAACATGACAACCGGCTAGACGACGAGTCTGATGGAACCAAGCCGAGTTCAGGGTTCGGGTTAGGCCTGCAGCGGTTCTGACTGCAGAACCCGTCAGAACCACTGCTGCATCCTCACATCGGGTCGCCGGTTCAGAGTCGACCACAAACTGAAACCGGCTTCACCCCCGACCAGGAAAACGTTCTGCAGAAACATCAGAGAGTCCAGGACCAGAGTCCAGGACCAGGAAGGGACACACACACAGTAACACACACACACACACACACACACACACACAGTAACACACACACACAGTAACACACACACACAGTAACACACACACAGTAACACACACACAGTAACACACACACACACACA